AGCTTCATCATGAAGAGAAAGAGAATGAAAGGATCTCCTCTTCTTCCAGACAAACGCAGCAGTCACAACAATCAGAACAGCCAGAGCAACGACCAGAACGACTACCAGTCCAGCTACCAGTCCAATGTGACCTTGACCTGCAGAACAGAACCAGGAGTTAGTCTGATCCCACTGAAGATCATCATCATCTGATCTGAGATCCAGAACCAGGAGCTGCTGGTTCTGATCCAGAGACAAACTCTCACCTGGATCAACCCTCAGGTGGATGAAGGTGCTTTCTAAAGCGGCTCTCTTCCTGCGTGTGTTGCTCTTTATTTCAGTTCTGACTCGACACTCATACACTCCACTGTCCTTCTCTGTCACACTGTTTAAAGTCAGATTAATTTCTCCATCGGTGCTGATGAGGCTTGGGAGTTTGGTTCGGCCCTTGTAAAGTGGATTTTGCTGCTCTTCATCAATCTGCCCATCCCTGTAGAGCAGCACACTGTCTGGTTGCAGGTCGTCTCTGGTCAGCCTTAGAACTGAGACTTTGCCGTTTCCTGCAGCTCTACATGTCAGAGTGACATCTTCTCCAGGTATTACCGTCACATTTACAGGATCTGCAAAAACAAACAGAAACCATCCAGAGTTTAGCTCCTTCCATCAGAGCACAAAGGGCTGCAACCAAAGACAGATAGAAATATCTGTCGTTATCACAGACAGACATTATTTTTACACTTTTCTTTGCTTATGGACTTAATTATGATCAAATAATGTTGTAGGTAGTTTTATCATCTTCCTCCCTGACTGGCAGCAGGTGAGGATGAGGAGCATCTCCTCCTGTAACAGATCCATCAGCCCCCCCCTCTTCCTCCCCAGGGTTGGTTCCCCCCCCCCCTCCTCCTCTCTCCATGAATGGCTGCCTGTCAGGGACCCATCTGTGAAGCTCCTGAGGTGTTGGATGGTCAGAACCACCTGGAGCTGAACCCAGTGAGATGAAGGAGAGCTGCCTCTCCTCCTCATCAACCTGCTGTCAGTCCCTCCCAGATCCACCAGAACTTTCTCTGGTTCTGATTCTCTGATTCGGTTCAGATGAAGGTCCAGCAGAAACTGGACTTCCTGCTGCAGCTGAAGAAGGAGAACCTTCCCCTGCTGGTCGTTTTCTACCGACCATTGTTCAGGCTGTTCTGTTGCTTCATTTACTGACAGGATCATCCTGCAGGGACCCATCAGGTCCAGAGTCACTGGACAGACAGTTTCACCCCACAGGCTGTTCCTGCATTAAACATGATGATCAGCAAACAGCCTGAGGAGAACTGGGAAAATCACCTTTAACCATCACAGCAAACCTTCTACTGATTGTCTTGTTTAGTGAAAAAAAATGTCTGGAAATACATATACATATTACTCCTTCTATGCTTTATTTTATCTGAAACAATATATTATTTTTATACGCATATCTTTATGCAATGAGTTCCTGAAACTGAAGTCAAATCCTAGTTTGTGTTTGTGAGCACAATGTTGGCCAGCAAATCTGTTCAGATTCTGATATTATTTATTATTAACACATTCATGTAAAGTTTCCTTTGCAGACACAAACTCAGGTTTTCTAACAATAATGTGAAACAAAAATATGTTAAGGTCAGTCAGATAAATGTTTTATTGATGATTATGTATTCAGTATTTAATTAAGTCAGAACATTCAGCAAAGTCCTGCAGAACAGCTTAAACTAGAATAGCAGAACATTAAAGCAAAAGATTCACACAAAGAAACTTTTCTCTCACAAATCTATTATACGGCTACATTCAGTACACAGACGTGTCTCTGTTGTTCCAGCCATCAACCTTTTCATCGACCCCTGATAACAATGATAATAATAAAAAACAAGTAAAAACAGGTTGAAATAATCCAAATGGGTCAAAAATGCCTTTTTCAGATCAGTTTAAAGTCAAGAGCTTCTTAATCCCACATAGGATTAAAACAACACGTAAAATCAGCCTGACTAGTTTCACAGGAGGTTTAGTGTTGCTGCTCTGATGAAGACATGATAACTGCTCACCTCCACAGAGAGACAGATCCAGAAATACCAGAACAAACCAGAGACAGATGAAGGTCTTCATGGTGTAAGATCCTCCTCTCAGGCTGATCCGATGCTGCTGCTGTTGTTGCTGCACCTGAATACTTCTGGGTTTGTTTCTCTGTGTTATTAAAGGCTCCACCCGTGCAGAGGGTTGGGTTCATTATGACACAACAAGCTTTTCATTGGCTGAGGAGAGAAAGAGATCTGCCCTCTGAGCTTCTCTCAGACACAGAAACACCCACATGCCTCCTGTACTTTCAGTCTCATCTGGTTCTTTACTGGCAGGTTTAGCAGCAATGCTGAGCAGAAACTGCAGTTTGAAGCAGTTTTTGCTTCAAGTGTCTCTGATCTGGTTTAAAGTCAGAATAAGAGCCATTCAGCTTCACCTCTTCAGAATCACCACAGGCTGCTTTCTGGTTCTGTTCATTCATATTCTCCATTTATTTAGATATTTTTTATTTACAGTTTATTTAATCATATATTGATTTATTATATTTCCTCTATGTATTTTGCATCACTCTTCTTTTCTTTTTGCCCACTACACAAAATGCAAGAAGGGGGAATTTTTTATGTATTTAAACTTTAAAATAAATCTCTTTTTTGGGAAAATCCTGGGCAAAACTGGAAGCAGAGCACAGAGGTTACAGATCACAGCATCCATCTATTTTCTTACAAAATGTCCACAGGAGGTGCTGATGTTTCAGGTGAGAGGCGGGGTCACCTGGACAGGTCAGTCCACACTGACAGCAAACAAACAAAGTGAATTAAATAAATACAGTGGATCCTGGTGGATGGAGAAGCTTCTCTCCTCCTCTGTGAGCTGAGAACCAGAGTGTAAAATAAAATGACTGATTCCTGATGTTTGACAGACACATTAACGTTAATCTGGTCTGGACCTGCTGAGAGGATCTGAAGAACAAACAGACTGGAAG